ACAAAAAAAGATAAACAGCAGCCTCTATGTATACTGACAGAGTCCTTAATGGAGCGGTGTTTGGTAAGGGGCTGGGCTGCTAACTGAAAGGTTGGCAGTTGGAATCCACCCCGAGGTGCCCCAGGACAAGGCCTGGCTATCTGCTTGCAAAACCAAAGTGCCACTGAAAGCCCGGTGGGACTCAGGTCTACTCTGATGGATGTGGGTCATGGTGAGTTGGAACTGCCTGCCAGTAACTGGTCTGATTGGTGGTTTCTTTATACTGACAAGGAATATACATGTACCATGTAATTTACATGTGATACATATGCGTTTCCTCTGGGCTGCTTTTCTCACTGCCCCCCACATTCCAGGAGGAGAAGGGAGGGGGTCACGAGAATTTGGTGGACTCTTTGGATAACCCCTTTCACTTCTATGCTCGTATTTCCTTTCCTTTGTAAGGGCCATGAGATTTCTGAGCTTGCTTCCATTTTAGGACATTCCAATGTAACCTAAAGGTATCCCTGGGGTTACAGAAGTCCAACTTAACGTACAGGCCATAGTTACAAACTAACCCTGGAAAAGCCTATTAATAATCCGAGGTGCATGCAGTGGTTCATCGTAACAATCAGGTGCTGGTTTGTGACATGCATCAAACATTATTCCTCTTGCTGGTGTCATCATGTTTAAGATGTGTTAGGGTATCTGGAATGGTTTCTGTAATGTTTATGTACAGAAAGGTATACTATATACTATGATAAACATTTGCCCATCTGACCTTAGATAGGGACCGTACCTAACTGTTCTGACTTATGTACATTCTGTTTAAAGACAGACTTACACGTGGAACTCGTTCATGATCCAAGGCCTGCCCGTGTCTCCTTCATGTCTCTCTCTTAATTGCACAAGGAAGGGGCTCGCTTCTCAATGAGTCTTAGCAGACAACTTTAATTCTCCCCCCTGCCACCTACCAGGCTAAGACTAGGAACTCTTCTGTTGCAATGAACACAGCCTGCCATACTTGGTAAGAAGATCCTTAGAAATGAAAGTTTAACATGACCATCATCATCATCAATGGAGCAGGATTTTGGGGAAAAAGGGCAGAGGTATCAGAGTCAGACAGATGTTCACCTGAAGTCTGTTTTCACCAGTGGCTAGACTTGACTTTGGGCAAATCATAAAACCTCTCAGATCCTTATTGAATAAATAAAATGAGGGTGAGGCTGTCATCAAGGATCAGTTGATGTAGAGTAGTAGAAGTTGATTAGAACCTGCCTTGTTCCCCACCGTTTTGAGTTGGTTCTACCTCATGGTGAACCCACTAATGTCAGGGTACACCGAGCTCCGTAGGGTGTGCAGTGGCTGAGTTTTTGGAAGTCTTCTCCCAGACTTTTTTCCCGGAGTCCTGCATATCAGCTGAGCACATTAACCCATCTGTATCACCCAGGGACCCCACCATTGGTTTGTTGTTGTTGTGTACCATTGAGTCAGTGGGAGTCACAGCAACCCCAGATGGCAGGGAAGAAGTGCCCCTAGGCTTTCACTTCTATGGGCCAAATTGCCCGGACTTTCTTCCCATGGAGTGACTGGCGGGATGGAACGACCAACTTTTCAGTTGGCAGCTGAGCATTAACTATTACGCCACCAGGGATCCTTTGGTAAGGAGTGTAGTTCTATGTATGAGGAGCTGACAGAGAAGGGACAATGAAACATTCCTGAGGTGTCATACTGCATGCTGTTCAGACAAGCTGCAGCGTGGAATGGGGACTGGAGAAGCAAGATCTCCCCATGGTACCGAGAGTCAGGCTTCTTACCTCCAGGGTGAATACTGAAAGTTCTTGCTGGACTAACCTTGAATGTGCCCCTGCATTGGTTAATAACACACGTTCTGGAACCGTGGCCATGCCCCTTGCTCACCGTGTGATCTTGGGCGTACAGTCACCTTTTGGTGCCTCGCTTTCTTCACCTGTCAGTAACTGCTTGCCTTTTACTGCTGTCAGCACGTTCTTGCTCTCCTTAGGTGTGTTAAGGAGGTAGGTGCTGCTGTCACCCTGAACGTACACATAGGGAACACAGTGCAGAGCTTTGGTTTAACCTGCTAGGGTGCCTGGGTGATGCAGTGTTTAAGTGCTTGGCTATGAACTGAAAGGTCAGCAGTTCAAACCCACCCAACAGCTCCACAGAAGATAGATCTGCTCTCAGAAATTATAGCCTTGAAAACCCAATGGAGCAATTCTGCTTTGGTCCCGTAGGGTAGCTTAGGAGTCAGAATCAACAGGACACCCCCAGAAGGGCAGGATCAGGATTTAAATGTAGAGCATCTGGGTCCACAGTCCCCATTTTTTTTTAACCTCTCCATATGCTACCTACCTGATAAGAATATTCAGGTTATTAAATGAGATAGGATTAAGAGGTTATTAGGATCATAGGAAGGGGTAGAACCTGAAACCCTGATAGGATTACTGAGATATTTAAATAACGGACACACGATACTGATCTGTGGGGCTCATAGTAAGTATTTAATAGGAGCTCTGGAACTTACCACCATTAATTTTTCATCTTCCTCATCCAAGATCCCCCCAAAATGTTAGTAACTTGAATACATGCTTGGTTCATAATTCATGGTGTTGTCATTTTGTTTTATACCAAAGGCTGGCACTTCCCCACTGGGGAAGAGCCAGGCCGATCTTTTTGTTTCTTAAACCCCGGGGCTAGTTCCAGTGAGTTTTGGAAGGATGAGTAAGGACCAGAGCCCTCCGGGCCAGAGAGTCAGTGCACCCCGCCCACTGCTCACGTGGGCAGCTTCCACCCACGGCCCCTCGGCGGACACAGGCAAAGCCACCCGTGTCCTTCAGAAACCCCGAGAAGCAAAAGGACTCAGAACAGCAGGTCATGGGTACCTTTTCAGACTAAGCTTTTATTTTTTTGATATTACAAACCAGTTTTCTTTATTCACAAACCACTGTAAGTGATATGAACACTAATCTCTAAAGACAGATATACACATTGTCTGGGTTTGCAGATTGTGTGATGTGTGTGTTAAGAAGTCACTATATGCCACGCATGATATTAATCTTTTTTTTTCCATAATTCATAATAGCAATAGTTATTTAGATAAATGAAAACATTCCAAATAAATACTGTTTAAAAAAAAAAAATCCAAAATGTCCGTTTACATCCAAAATGACTTATTGGCATCTTGGAGGAGTGCTTAAACAAAAGATCTGAATCATCAGTTGGCACCCACTTGCTCTAAATGATTTTATTAAAACTACATACAGTCATGGGGGAAAAGTACAGTTCATCAATGAAAATCAAAACCGCAAATGAATTTTACTTGACCCAACACAGTAAGAAGTCTATGTTTGTGATTCCAAACACAATACAGATTTGGGCCTGTGAAAACTGAGGCAATGGGGAAAGATCACTTACAACCTTCCCCAGACCTCTATACTCTCTCTCCCTTCCGGGGAAGGATGCCAGTAGCGTTTGAAGCAACTCAGTTTCCGTATAAAGCGTCAACTAGGCAACCGTTGCCCTAGACCTTATGTTTTCCAGGTAGGGAGATGAGAATGTCTCAGTTGAGTATAAAACACCCCCTTATGGCCTTCCCTGCCTGGAGAAGTCTGGTCAAGAGAACGGTTGCCAGGCTTGGGCTGCTCTTTTCCAGATCCCTACGATCTGTCTGAGTTCCTGAAGCTACAGAAACTGTGTGTTCGAATCTTGTGAAACTTTATTGATGGCTGAATACCCAACTGATCTTAACTGCATGCACGTAAGATGAGAGAAAGCTGAATCACAAACACTTTGATTTATTTTTTTTGTCTTTTTTTTTTTTTTTTCTTAGTTTTGTCTGGTTTTGTTTTAAAGCAGAATTGTTACAGCAGATTGGCAGCTTAACAGCAGTAAGTTGATACTTTACTAAAGTGTAGGCCATCGGGCCCACACCGTACACAGGAGGATTGAACTATGGCAGCAAAACTAATTGGGGCCGGCTTGTTGCTGCTGCTGTTGTCTTAATACAAAAACAGGAAGACCCGTGACAGACACCCCAACTTAGGTGAACTTGTAAACAGGACAACATGAAGAGTTCAGACAGAAGTAGTACGGTACAAAGTGCAATTTTCCAGCTGTGCCACTCTGGCCTCGTGTCCGAGAAGTGGGGGGCACGCTTTCTTCTTCAGGGATGAAGAGGGTGGACCTACTTTTTTTTTTTTTTTTTTTGCTTCCTTCTGACAAGTGTCCTGGGCCTTGGAGATGGAACTAAAGATACGGGTTGGAGATAGCCCTTGGGCTAGGAGGGCAGGCTCTCACGGACTGAAAAATTGCAGATTGCTCACACAACACGGCCATGTTTCAAAAAATACCAAGCAGATGAAAATACCATGATTATCTCTACTCAATGGTTTCAATACTTGTAAAATGCTTCTAGAAATCCGAAGATGATCATCAGTAATTCCATAAAAATTATACGTCTGTCTCTAACAGTTGTTCTACTCGGCTAAAACTAAAACTTATACAAGGTATCTAGAACTGAACAACTCCACTGCACAGATGTAAATTTTATACATTTTTTTTAACTGGTACAAAGAATTTAAGTTTTTATTACTTTCTTTTTTTTTTTGGAAAAAAGAAAAAAATAGAAACAGTGCTTTTCATCACCTTTTTATTAATGTTATTTTTTTCCCTCCCATAATATAAAAGTCAGCAATGATATCAATAATTTCTTATACTGGAAGAAATATAAAAAGAATGCTTATTGATGGCCTAACTAGCAGCTTTTGCCTAAATAACTAGTGGCAGGATAAGAAGCTGAATACTGCCGGGTGGAATGGTTTAAAGGGTGGGTTGGCACGGCTTCTTTCAACCCCAGTGCACACGTGGTGCTAGAAGCCACCTCCTTAACAACCTAACCTTTGGCTTGGACCGACGACGAGTAACTAAGAACTGGTATTATGTGATAGTTGGTGCAGTGGGTCGTATAGATTCATCAGTTTGTTTTGTTTTGTTTTTTAAATTTTAGCCAAACCCCACAGCCCCTTTCCCCTCCCACCCTTCTCCTTCCATAAACTGAAATGATGCAGATGCAGAAAAAAATGACTACTATAGTCACTTCCTCTCTTCCCAAACAGCTGATAACCCCGGTAAGCTTACATTCGGCATATATAATTCATTTACACGATATAGCACTCTGGATATGGCCCTAAACCAGTTATTATTTTTTTTATGCATATCTAGCGTCTCTCTAGTTCAACCACAAAAACTCCTACAGCCAGCAACTGAACTACGGAATCTTCAGAAATGAAAGACCCACAATATTAAAATACACAGAACAAAATATCTGAGGTATAAGATAAAAAATGTAATTTTTTTTCCTCTTTTTTTTTTTAGTTTAGCTTCTTTTTTTGTTTTTTTTTTCTTTTTTTTCAGAGTTGCTAAAATGATGCACTACTGCATGTATTGCAATACCCAGGCCTCGGAAAGCTTCCTTTCTCCCCACCTTGGAAGGTTTTTATGGTTTTGTCAGTTAGTATGGAGCAAAACGGTTGTATCCCCCTCGGTATATACTAGCCTGCAATGAAGAAAGAACGAGACCCACATCATCAGCATGGCTCCTAGTCTTGGCATCAGTCAAGGGTGCAAAAGCATTCTGAAACAAAGCAATTTGAGGGGTGGGTGTTTGACATTTTCCTTTTGCAACACGTGGATCATCAAAAAGACTAATGGCAAAGATAGACACTTAAAACCAACCAAAACGGAGGCACCCCTACCCATCCCAGGACATTCTTGGAGAGCTTGGGGCCAATCCTGACGTCCCCCACTGGTTCCTTACGTAGAAAATCCCTGGAGAACAAGGTCTGTCTGTCAATCCCGGTAGCTAGAAGGACCCTGCTACAAACTCGGTAATGGACGGGTTTGGGACTTGCACTGTCTCCTTTTGTTTGCTTGATGAATTAATGCTATGTTGCAGTGAAGGAGCCCTGGTGGCGCACTGGGTAAGCACTCGTCTGTGAACCGAAAGGTCACAGTCGGAACCACCAGAAGTGGTAGTCCACTGCCATAGAGGTGACAGCCTCGGGAACCCTGAGGGGGCAGCTCTACTCTGTCCTAGAGGGTCGCGATGAGTCGGGATCGAGTGAATGGCAATAGGTGTGGGTTTTATGTTCTATTGGGAGAAGACCAACTGATACTCGAGAGGGTGGATTTGGACAGGTCCCTGAATGGACTCATTCCTGAATGGATTCATGATTCATTCAACGCTCCTTTCTAGCACATTCCTCAAGCGGAGGAGGTGTGCAAGCAGAGGGGTTGAATGGAAATCTATTTCTTCCTGGACCTGGCTGGGCACGGCCCTGGACCTCGAGGGGTAGCGGACAGACGGACGGCTTGATGTGACTGAGCTTGTGCAAGATCATCTCTTTCCAGATCATGGCTGCGTCTCGATGACCAAGCGACAGTGGATTGTCTGGACATGGCTTTACATGGCTATGAGGTGGCACTTAACTATTCCCTTGGGCTGAAAGTACTGGCTATTCAAACGAATGCCCTGGGGGATTTCTTGGTCAGGTAAGGACTGTTATTCTTGATCCAAGCAGAAAACTGCATGCCAAAGCTGTGCCGTGATTGTATACACTCTCACGTGATGGGCACGTCTTACTGTACTCAAGAATTTTAGTGCATAGAAGTTTCAACAAGTACAGGCAATTCCCCCTGCCCTCCCCCCACCCTCCCCAAAGCAAAAACCCAGGACCTCCCTCCCAAAAAAGAAAGAAAGAAAGAAAAGACAACCCCCAAACCCAGCTGATTCCTTCTAACCCCTTGCACTAGGCACACACACAAAGTGTGCCCCTCTGTCTATTTTCTCTCCTGGGCGACTATGACTTTGAACATGAATTGTAAGAGGGGAGGAGAGGCAGTCAGAGTTTCAGCTGCCTGACAGCAGAGGTCTGGAAGGGTGCAGCTTAGCTCCTCTGAAGTCTGTGCTGGGGCTGGAACCTTGGGGCTATGTGAATGAGCAGCAAGGGAGGGAAACAAAAAAGAAAACAAAGGTCTGCATTGGCACTGCATTCCGTTAGTGATGGATTTAATTATCAAAATGACTAATTATTTCATTAAGGTTAGTGCTCTGCTAGGTGAGACTTGCAAAATTAGAAATATAATAACTTACATGCACTACATTGCCAAGAAATTAAGACATTTATCAAGTTTACTGGGAGGATTAATGTGGCATTTTAGCTGCTGTTAGCACAAGAGACAAATTCAATTAAGGGGAAGTGAGAGGACGTCAAGCGTCAACCCAGACGAAGGTCCCAGCTGGGGGAAGGGAAGGGCGACCGGAAGACGTGAGGAAGGAAGGGGGAGGCGGTGGTACTCACCATGGCACCAACGCCGTAGGTGGGGGCTGGAGCAAGTGTGTGGTGGTAGGGGTCGGCAGCATAAACTCGTCCGTAACTGGAAGGAAGACAGAGGGCAGGGTGAGTCCGGCACAGGCTGTGCGCCATAGTGGCAGCAACCCTAACATAGGGTTGGGGGGGCCCTACGCAGCCCCAGAAGTGAGAAACAGACTGTCTGCTGCGGCGTAGTGTGAGACGAGTGCGTCTGTGCACACGTGTTCCATCACCCATTACCAGGGCTTTCAACATACGATGTAACAGAGCCAGACCAACAACCAACTGAAATCCAGTGCTGTCGAGTCGACTCCGACTCTCAGCAACTCTCCAGGGTGGAGTGGAACAGCCCCCCTTGGGTCAGCACGGCTGTCAGTCTGTAGAGAAGCAGACAGACACATCTTTCTTCCATGGAGTGGCGGGTGGGTTCAAACCAGCGACCTTTCAGTTAGCAGCAAATGCTTCCCCACTGCACCACTGGGGATCCTTATAGTATAAGACAGATGTGTTTGTATGTATGTATCTGTATCTGTTGTCTTGGATGCTCCGGAGTCAACTACTTCCCCTCATGGCAACCCCATGTGATAGAACCAGAGGGTTTTCTTGGCTGTAGTCTGTATGGCAGTGTTGGTCTGGTCTTGCTCCCAGGGAACTGCTGGGGAAGGGGGTGGTTTGAACTGCCGACCTTTGGGCGAGTAGCCTAGCATTTAACATTTGCAACACCAGGGCTCCTTCTGCACCTAACTTAATTACAAACTCACAAAAAACTTGTGCTGTCCAGTCATTTCCAACTCATAGCAACCCCTCCTTGGGTTTCTGAGGTGGTATCTCTACAGACAGGGAGCTCTGGTAGCACAGCGCCTAAGGCACTTGTCTGCTAACCAGAAGGCTGGCGGTTCAAGCCCAAGAGTCTGAGGCCAACTCTCCACTCCTCTGAAGGAAGATGGGGCAATCTACTTCTATAGTGATACTGCCACGGAAACCCAAGGAGGGGTCACTGTGAGTCGGGGCCGACCCGACAGCCCATAACAACAACACTCTCTATAGAAGTAGATCACCCCATCTACTGTCTGAGGAGGGGTTGGTGCATTTGAACCATCAGCCTTTTAGTTAGTAGTCAAATGCCTCAGGCACTCTGCCACTATGCATAATAGAGAGATAGGCCTGGGTGGAGCAATGACTACTCTAAAGGTTGGTAGTTCCAACCTACCTAGAGAAACTTGGAAAAAAGACCTGGTGATCAGCTTTGGAATATGGGGTACAGTTCTACTCTGACACACACATGGGGTTGCCATGAGTTGGAACTGCCTCAGTGGCAACTAGTTGGTTCTCCTATCATCTCCCCTCTGCCATGGCTTCCAGTGCAACCAGTAGAATAAAAATGAAGACAGGACAGGAGCCAGGTGGATGCCTGCTCAACAGGCAACCTGTCAGAGGATGGAGTCAGTCCAGAGGTCAGCCACTTGCTCCAGGCCACACAACCGGTAGAGGAGTCTCTGAGGCCAACTCTTCTGCCTTTGTACTGTGTCAGGTAGCCTTGCTCACCTGACCTGCCAGATATCCTCTTGGAGGTAGAATGAATGTTGCTACTTTGGAACTGATCGACCCCGAGGTGGCCTCAGGCTGCCTCTCCTCCAAGCATGGCCTAGCATGGAGACCCTGTGCAAATGATTTCACAAGGGAGGGTGCTCACGAGCAGGTTGGGGGCAGGGGGTTAGCAGTAATGTCCAAGCAGGAGAGGAGTTTTTACTGATCCTGTAGGGCTGCACCCCATCTTTCCTCAACCCTCCTTGAGATGCTTTGTTATTAGTTGCCATAGGGTTGGCCCTGGACTCACGGGGGTGCCGTGTGTGGCAGAAGGCAACCCTGTTGATCCTGCACCCCCCAGGCCTCCCCTGATGGGTGAGTGGTGGATGCGCTTGAGGGGCAGGGCTGTAAGGGAACCCAGGTCTCCTGCATGGAAGGGGAGTATTCTGCCCCTCAACCACCAGTGGCCTCTCGCTGGCTTCCTGGGGCTGAGGGCTTTGTTCTGGGCTGGAGGACCACCTCCTCACCAGGGCTCCACCTGGGTTTCCAACAGGTCCTCTCACTTTGAATTTTCTTGAAAGGGGCATGGCAGGAAGAAATGGTTTGTGTGTACTAGCCACGTTAAGCTCACTTCCTATTCCTTGGAGTTCAGTTGGACTGGTCCTTGATCCTGCCCTTGCCCTATCCTCTCATTTTCAGTCTAGTCTTCTATCTCCTAACTGGTGAGCATGAGAATGTGTGCAAGGGATCTGACTCTGTTGCTTATACCTTGGAGCCTGGCAAGGTGAGGAAAGGCTTCCAACTTTCAGACTCCAAGAAAACCCAAATTGAAAAATTTTTGATTCTACCAAGTTCTCCTTGAACAGGTCCTAACTTCTAAGCCCTCTTTGTTGCTGTTAGTTGATTCTGACTCACAGTGACCCCATGTGACAGTAGAACTGCCCCCTAGGGCTTTCTAGGCTCTAACATTTATGGGAGCTGATCATCAGGTCATTTGCTCATGGACCTGCTGGGTAGGTTTGAACAGCCAACCTTGGTTAGGAGCCAAGCACTTTACTATTGTGTTACCACCTGCTTCAAAAAGCAATGAGTATAATCCAGGAGAGGCTGTCAACTCCCTCTTACTTTTCATTTAACTAGACATAGATTAGACACAGTGGTGTTCCCAGGTGATGTGAATGGTTAAGTGCTTGACTACTAGCAGAAGCATTGGTGGTTTGAACCCAGAGGTGCCTTGGAAGATAGGACTGGCGATCTACCTCCAAAGGTCACAGCCCTGACCATCCCGTGAAGCAGTTTTACTCCGCACGCACAAGGTCACTGTGAGTTGGAAATGACTTGGCAGCAACGACAACTAGAAGTAGATACTAAAAGGGGTTAGAGGAAATGTGAGCCCAGTTTGGCATTAATTTTCACTTCAAACAAAATTTGTCATGAGTCTAGAGAAAAACTAAAAAATCTAACAGGGTTATTTTGAATGTTCTTTTCCCAGGACAAAGCTGGGTCTATGACCAAGTCATCAACTGTGAAGGGAAAATCCTGGCAACCCCAAGTGGTATCTTGACCTGCTATCCATTCAGAACAAGGTAAAGATGCTAACTCTGAGCAATTCCTTTTTTTTTTTTTTTAATTTTGAAGAATGGCTTTCTTGTGGCAGAAACTCCTTTGTTTTGGGAGATGATGATGTGCCTGTGCTTAATGCAAACCTAGCTCCTCCCTTTCCTTACCACATACTCTTAAGGCAAATCCTTCTTTGTAGAAAAGTTACTGGGCATAACTTCAGCCGTTGTGGAAAACCCAAGTCAATGAGGTGGCAGTATTCTCGCTTCTAAAGCTGAACAAAAATACCCCAGTGCTCAACTAATCCTCACCAATGAGCAGTCTCCTCCTCTCCTCAGGGTGACCTCCCCGTTCAGAAGCGGATGGCTTTATTATGATTAATAAAGTTCATTTCCACGGAGGAAAAGGAACCATGTCAGCTTAAACTGAAAGCACAGAGGTTTCTTTTCAAATGCTAATTTCTAAACATGCCCTTGTGTGACACCACCATTTAGACTCAAGGTTATGAGTGAGGATGTGGTCTTAAGCACTGCTTTCGTAGCATATGTAGCAGGCACGTCTCCAACCTCAGTGCTGGCTAAGCACAGTCCCAAGACGGGCAAACCCAAGCACAGCAATGGGAAGGCCGGGCCCATGTCTTAACGGCCGCCATATTTGGACCTGCCCAGTGCATTGCTGCCATCCCTGACCAAAGCAAGCACTAGTGCAATGACAGGGTGTTTTCTCTCCTTCTCCCATCTGTTAGCAATTCCAGATGATCTCTTAGATCTGCCCCTTGACTCCAATCACACTATTGCCACCCTCAATCAAAACCACTAGCATATTGTCAGAGCCAATTCCACAGCCTTAAATCCAGTCTCCTTGTTTCTCTATCAGCCCAATAGCTACTTATATCTCCATTGACATCTGATCACCGCACTCCTCTGCCCAAAACCGTTCGATAGTTTTCCATTGATCCTATGATCCAATCAATCCACACTTCCATGAGCTGGCCCATGCCCCTCTACTCTTTCCTTCCATTATTCATCTGTCAGTCAGTCTGTGGTACTGTGATGCCTTGCCCATCGTTGTGAGGCTAGAAGCTATGCCACTGGTATTACAAATACTATCTGGGTCACCCACAGTGGACAGGTCTCAGTGGAGCTTCTGGCCTGGTGATCCACTTCTAAAAATAAGGTGAGGAAGACATCATATTTGCAGAGACCAGAGCAACCCTTACTGAGATGGACTGGGCAAGGTTTCATTCTGTTGGATGTAAGGTTGCCATGACTCAAAGTCCACCAGTGGCACCTGATGACCACCTGTTGCTTACTGTGCTCCGGGCACCATGGCCTCATTTGTACCATCTGTACACCTGCAAGTTCATTCTCACCTGGAGGCCTTGGCATTGCTGCTTTTCATCCCTTACTAGTCAGATCAAATGTCACTTCCCTGGAGAGATGTCTTGGTCATCATTTCTCAAGGACACTGCCCAACCCCCCCCCATGGGGCTTAGAAAAGCTCTTCTAATTTTACCTCTTTTCCTTTTCCCTCAGGAAAAGTCAGCTCCAGAGGAGCCAAGCCAACGCATTGAGTGAGGACAGAAAGAGGCACAGAGAAGAGAGAAAGGTGGCTGGGGAAGATAGGCATCTCCACAATGACAAATCTGTCAGTAGCAAGCATTCTCTTGGGTTTGCTTTCTAAAAACTCAAGGTTGGCTGCTCCCATAGAAATTCCATATCCTTGGAGATGCTCAAAATAAACATTTCTGGGGACTCTACAAGGAGACAGGGTAATTTCCCATCACCCCTGAGAGTTCACAAAACGCTGGCTAAGTTTCCAAAAAAGCTCATCAAAACCCTTTAGGGAAAACCAAACCAAAGCACCAGAACATCACTGCTTCCTGTGTAGTTTCATCAGAGCATGTAATCATCATAGTTACACGAGTACAACCTTTGGCCTGAACAAAAACTAAAACCAAGGCGCAGCCCAAGACCA